TTGCCCAGCGGGAGATCTCCCCTTTTCCTTCCACCAGTCACAGTGGTGACCCCGACGTAATATGAACACGCAACAAACAACCTTCGGAAACTACGACTTCAAAACCTTCCTCCAAAACTTCCTCAAGTACCCCATTCATTCGGTCCCGAGCAGACATTGCCTGCAGTCTTCACATTTTGCAAGCCATCTAGCTTTACAAAGCTTCATCGCAGCACTAGAATAATAATGCTTCCTGTTCCTTCAAGCTACTCTCTGCGCTACAGTTTTCGGCACGGCTCTGAGCCTTACTGCTCGCCTCTGCTTCACGGCACTCTCGCAGATTACTTGCATTCTTCTCGACTCACCGCAGACTACAAGGCAATCCCTGGCACTTGCAATCGGACTGCACTATCAATCTCCGGTCTGAGTAGAGGGGTGATGTGGCGACGCTGTCGTCGCGCCACAAGCGAAACATATCGAACTACTACGCACTAACAAAGTTCTGAAGTTAAAGCAGCATATATAGAATAGCTCCGTACTACGTTTTTTATCAGATTTTTTTTAATTTCTCGATTTTCGATAAAAGTTTTTTTTCTTGGTGTAAATTCAACACTTCTTTCTTGTGATTTCAAAAGTGGAGGGGTTATGTCACGAGTGACATATGATGAGGCTACTCTTTCTTTGATCTGTCCCTGAAAAATATAAAGTAATAATAAATGTATTATCATTTTAGCTGCATGAATTTAAAAAATATAATGATCTTAACATAGACAAGTCAAATACGCTGTAGACATTAAAGTGCACCAAGTGTCTGAGGATGCAGATGCACTCTTCTAATCTCTCAATCGTAGTATGTTAAGAAAACGGTCACCGGCCGTCAAGCATCAAGCATGAATCGGATATCAAGCGTTGCGCGTATCAAATACTATTAAAATTTATACTATCCTGGTACACTAAATCACGCGTCTCATGCCATCTAGTGGCGCTTCAGGAGTATTACTCAATAACCATACCTAACTACGCTAAAAGTTTTATCATTGTGACTTAGGAATATATTCCAAAGCTCCGCACAACCCCTAGGGGAAAATATATAATAATAGAGATAGACTTTTATAATGTATAAATATATATCTCTATTTTTACCTAAAGTTTTTGAAGTTAAATTTTTATACCAGCGTAAAATAGCAGTTTAACACTGCTGTGTTTCGTATGGTAAGTGTAGAGAACCGGGGACCCATTTTACTGGAAAAGAGGCATTCCATCTTAGTCCTCACGGGTGATAACGCATCTGCAGTTTCATTTGCAAACGAGGATAGATGTAGATGTCTATGGGCCACAGCAACCACTTACCATCAGGTGGACTGTGTGCTCGTTTGTCACCCCATCCTATAAAAATAAAAAAAAATGAAGTCTTATTGTAACAATAATATACTTACTGGTACAAATAATGTAGAAATGGCCCCTTTTCATAAAGTTGTATTTACTCTGTTTTTTTCTTATATATTTCTCAATAAAATGTTTACTACAAAATTGTAGAGTTCTTCTTAGGATTCCAACCAACCGGCCCAATTAATGCCGACCATTTTTTTCTAACTAAAGGATACAGAGAGAATCTGTTTGAGAAACGGCAAAATAAAATTTTGTTTTTAGAACGGAAATCGAGCATTTAATTTCATTCTTCTTTTTGTTGTGTATAAAAGTCTATCGATTCTTTATACACATTAAAGATAAATATGGACATTAATTTTGATATAGTTGAGTCAATCCCTAGCGTAAATGTAAAATATTTTGTTTAAAAATGAATTAACCAAAATCATACATATTATCAACAATGTGACTTTTTTCTTTGCAAAATATCAAAATTAATAAAATAATTAAAAATATTACATACTTTAAACAGTATATAACATACATTTTAAGCAAAAATAGACGTGTCTTATTATTGACGACGTCTTGCGAATTTACCTGTGAAATGTGCAACCATCAGGATTACTTCTATTGTTGATACCACAGTCATTTACGGAACATGAAACCATTTTGGAAAACTATAAATTATACAAATTAACACATTTGAATAAACTCTGATCACTCCCTTGTGGTACACACACACACTCGAGGTATAGGTATTGAAATAAGTCCAAGTACTCAGAGATATGCTAAGGTTATTTATTTTATCGAAACCATGGTCTTACATGTAGGCTTGAACACTACAACCATACCGCGATTTAAAACAGTACAACGCCATCTATAAGTTGTCATCTGACTTAATCTTAACAATCTTAACATAATCGCCCACCAAGGACAAATATGACATTTGTCCTTCAACAACAACACAAATGGCTTTTCTATTAATCTATAACTTCACATGAAAATCTTTTCCCAATACAAGTTGAGGATCAATATTAAACTTAACAACGTATTCTAGATCTATATTCTAATCTATTTAAACACTTACGGGTGTATTCATAATCATTTTTAAACAGTTCATTAGTTAAAAAGTGTTTGTCACTTTCTAGCAACAAGTATCTCGCAAATGTCAGAATGAGACAAAACACTTTTTAACTAATGAACTGTTTAAAAATGATTATGAATACACCCGTTATAATATTATTTAACATTATTCAGTCGCAATCGGAAGCAGACACACTTTGGAAATCGGACGTTTAAATGTTCCATTTTTTGTTTTTAACGTTATTACTCTGATGAAATTGTCTTGTCCAGGATGAGTTTCAATCACTCTGCCATATAGCCATCGGCAGGGTGGTAATCCGTCCTCTTTTACTAAAACAACGTCACCCACCTTAGGCTGAGGTTGCTCTGATGACCACTTATAACTGTGCAAAAACTTGGTAAGGTATTCCTGAGACCATTTTTTCCAAAAGTCCTGCAACATTCTTTGGGTGACCTGCCACCTTCTTAAGGAACTAACAGTGTGAGATTCGTAATTTTGGTCTGGCGGAGTCACAATAGGCTCTCCCACTAGGAAATGACCCGGAGTTAAGACCATGATATCGTCGGAGTCACGTCCGATAACTGACAGCGGTCTGGAATTAAGACAAGCCTCCACTTGTGCTAGAACAGTTGACATCTCCTCAAATGTCAAAGTTGATTGTCCTATTACACGTTTTAAGTGGTACTTGACTGATTTCACCCCCGCCTCCCATAAACCACCAAAATTAGGTGACCGGGCAGGGATGAAATACCAGTTGCAGTCGTTATTAGCCACTGATTCGGCTACTTCCTGGAGCATCGATCCGTTTTCGGTTAGGAAAAGTCGTTTTAGCTCGCTGGCTGCTCCAGTGAAATTAGTTGCGTTGTCACTCCATAAATCAAAGCAATGACCACATCTGGAGACGAATCGCTTAAACGCCTGCAAGAACCCTTGAGAACTGAGATCAGTGACTACTTCAAGGTGTATGGCCTTGATTGCCATGCAAACAAAGAGGCATATATACCCCTTGTGAGATTTATGTCCTCGTCCTTTTGCTGTCCGTATCTGGATAGGACCCGCATAATCCACACCACTACATTTGAAGGGACGTATTGGAGTCACTCTCGCTGCTGGTAACTGGCCCATTAGTTGCGTCTGAGTATTGGGGGAATTTTTGGCGCATGTCAAATATTTTCGGAAATAAGACCTGACCGACTGTTTTGCTCCCAAGATCCAGTATTTTACCTGGATATAGCAGATCATCAACTGGGGACCTCCATGAAGTGTATTCTTGTGGGCATCCGCAATAATTAAGTTGGTTAAATGGCACTTCTTGGGTATTAGGATAGGATGTTTCTGGTTGCGACTCAAGCCAGAAAGCTCCAATCTCCCACTTACTCTTAGGATTTCATCAGCATCCATCACTGGGTTCAACGAACGGAGTTTACTACCTTTAGGTAAGTTACTCTTTTGTTTTACCAACAAGATCTCTTCTTTAAAATGAATTGCTTGATACTGCTTAACCCATATATGCCCAGAACTATGTCTTTATTTGGTTCCTTATTTGCCTCGTGATTCGAAAACGAATCAAAAATTAAGTTTTAATAATAGTTCATTATCTACCGCGTTTTGTTCGGAAAGTGAATTCTACCACCATCTATGTCAAGGCTAAGGTATTATCTTCTAATGGTAATTGAATGTGTCAACTAAACAAACGTTATTTTCACGTAATGAATCAGTGCAAGTTGTGACCAGTTTACGACAAGCAGAAATCATGGCGTCTTTCACAAAAAAGTAAGTAATTATACCAATTATCTCCAGTTTAGAGATCTTGTGTAATTTATGATAAAATTACATAGTTTGAAAATATTTTTATGTAATTATATAAACTAAATGGTTGTATTCAAATACCTAAAAGTTGTTTTTAAAATTAGTGTTTCGAAAACGATATACTGGGAAAATATACGTTTGTAATATACTAAATAATTTTTTTTTAATTTCAGATGGAGCAGGCCGTTATCGACCAATGAAATAGTTGATATTGTCCATAATTTGGATTCGGACGATGAAGCGACAGGTATAGACATTTATATTGATCCCCCCGGAGATGGATTAGTTTCGGACTCCGATTCGGGCGATGAAACAAATGTAAGTTTCGATAATTTATCACGTAGACAACTTTTGGCTCCTGCTGAGCTGGTGCTTCATGGAAATAAAGACAATGATAACAGTGAGTCCGAAGATGATCTTCCGCTTTCAGCCTTAGCTACTCGAAACACAACATCGAACGTGCCTTTATCGAGTCAACCAGGACAGCCACAAGCCCGTAAGTGGGTAAAACGAGACTTATGTAGGATAGATAACGAGTGGATTGCACCGCTTCCAAGATCAGTGGTGACTGTATCAGATGCGTCGGACCCAGTTCATATTTTTGAATTTAAGTCACGAAGTAATCATTCATATTGTTCGTCATACCGTTATGAATGCTGTAGAAAAAGGAAATATGGCGTTTACCTTGTCAGATAATGAAATATATTGCTTTGTCGGCATTCTTATATTAACAGGTTACTGTCCATTGCCGCGACGACGTATGTATTGGGAGAGTAATGAGGATACCCACAATTTGTTAGTAGCTAAATCTATGCGACGGAACCGGTTTGAAGAAATTTTACGATACTTTCATGTGGCCGATAACTCAAATTTAGCGCCAGGTGACAAAATGGCCAAAGTGCGCCCCTTGTTTGATATGCTCAATAAAAAATTTTTACAATATGCTGTGATTGAAAAAGATATTAGCATAGATGAATCTATGATTCCTTATTACGGCAGGCATGGGTGTAAACAGCACATAAAAGGAAAACCTATCAGGTTCGGTTTTAAAACTTGGGTAGCAGCTTTGCGACTGGGATATTGCTTGCATGCTGATCTTTACCAGGGTAAATCTGAAGGAGTCAGGATCGGTTTAGGCCAACATATCGTAAGTAAACTTATGACGGAGATCAAAGCTGCCTACGAAAATACAAATTTCTCTGTTTATGTCGATAATTTTTTTTACAGGGTTACCCCTAATTACTCAAATGAAAGAACAAAATGTTCTAGTAACGGGTACTGTAAGAAATAACAGAATAGAGAAGTGTCCTTTGAAAGATGTCAAGTTATGCAAGAAAGAACCGAGAGGTTATCACGATAGTCGGCTGGATCAAAAAAAGTGGTATTTGTGCTATTCGCTGGAATGATAATAATGTCGTGACATTTTTATCGAGTGAGTACGGCGTAGAACCTCTGAGAACAGCAAGTAGGTATTCAGTTGCGCAAATGGCAAGAGTGGATGTGCCACAACCTGATCTTGTATATCAATACAATTGCTACATGGGTGGCGTGGATCGTTTAGATAATAATATAGGCACTTACAGGATTTCAATTAGAGGCAAAAAGTGGTATATCCCCATAATTTCTGGCTTATTGATGTGGCTGTAAACAACGCAACACTTATCGCACGACAAATGCGCAATGATGTAGACACTTTAGAATTTCGGCGTAGTATTGCTCGAACTTTGCTCCAAAAGTATGGCATTGATAAGCGGCGGCCGGGTCCTTCTAGAAAGATTTCTACGACTGTACCTCCCTCAGTGCGAAAATTTAATGCTGAGCACATGATCGGCAGAGCACCAAGTCGCCTGCGTTGTGCTTATTGCAAAAGCTTGACGGTTACTTCCTGCCAAAAGTGTCAGGTTAACTTACATGCCAAATGTTTTATAGCGTTTCATTCCTAAATTGAGTTCTTATGTTCCCCCTAAATTTTGCTTAAATCTTTTGTTTGTTGGTATTTTAGATTTATATGAATATGTCATTTGAAAATAAATAAACATAGAAAAATGTTGTTGTTTTTTTACTCATAGTAAATGTATGGAAAGTGACCAATGTTTCGTTTTCGAACAATTTAAAAAAAGGTACATAACGAATTCTAACCTTAATGAAACCAATTATAACGTTATTAGAAACTTATTACCACTAACATATCCAAAATGTAGTAAAATCGGAAGTCCAAAATAGTTCTGGGCATATAGAGGGTATTGATCGTTTTCGAATCAGGGGGCAAATATGGGTTAATGCATACATTTTGTGCTTCAGTTAGTTTTTGCGTGGTCAGATAGCCTCTCTTTCTCTTGTTAGGTTCTGAACTTAAATTATTTATAAAACGTTTACAGTAGGCTATTACTCTTTTCATCCTCGTCAAAGATGAAAACCTCTCCCATATACCATCTTCTACAACAGCACAATGCGATTTAACCTTTTCCAAATTTGTAGTTACTTCTTTGGGCTTCTCATAATTGATAGTTCTGTTTCTCAAAAAGTCAGGACCGTTGAACCATATGCTATTTTTTACCAATTCTTGAGGAGATAGTCCTCTAGATGCAGCATCAGCAGCATTTTCTTTAGAGCTAATATGCGACCAATTATGAGAATCCAAATTAGACTGAAATTCTGATACACGATTTGCGACAAAAACTTTCCATCTACTTGGATGGTTATTGGTTATATCCACGCGAGAACCACTGTAGAATCTGTCCATGCTCGTATGTTACGTTTTCAATGCCTAGCACTCTTGCTGTTTCCAATATGAGTCGTGATAATAATACAGCCCCACAAGGCTCTAACCTAGGGATAGAGACTTGTTTCACCGGTGCGACCTTTGTTTTTGCAGTTAACAGAGACACGTTAATCGCCCCACTGGAGTCGATCACACGGATGTAAATAACCGCTGCGTATGCACTATTAGAGGCATCGCAAAAGCCGTGCAATTCAACTGAATCGTCAACATTAGTGTGGACCCATCTTGGTATGTTTATCGTCTCTAACACTTTCAACTCTTCTCGGTAAGCAAGCCACTCATCCAGTATACTTTTTGGTACCGCTTCATCCCATTCAATCCCTGCTAACCACAGCCTTTGAATTATTACTTTTGATTTTATGATACTGGGCCCTACCCAGCCCAGTGGGTCATAAAAGCGTGAAATGTCACTAATTATTTTTCTTTTAGTTACAGATTGTTCCAGCTTCGGGAGATTGACAGCGTAACGAAAGGAGTCTTCAATACGGTCCCAGGTGAGTCCAAATATTTTCAAAGTTTCATCTGATTTAATTTTTAACCCTTCCTGAACATCCCCTTTTCCTTTTTCCCCTTTCATAGATTCTACTAATTCCTCGCAATTACTTGTTTGGCACTTCCTTAGTTTGGCATCCTGTTAATAAGTCATCCATGTAATAATCTGTTAAAACTCGTTTAGCTGCCATAGGATAACTATCACCTTCATCGAGAGCCAACTGCTGCAACGCTTTAACTGCCAGGTAAGGCGCAGAGGCAGTTCCAAATGTCACCCTCAGCATTCTATAATGTTTCATCTCCGTTTCAGCATTATCTCTCCAGATAATCCTCTGAAAATCCACATATAAATCGGAAATCTTCACTTGCCGATACATTTTTCCAATATCAGCAGTGAGACAGATGGGCGGAATACGCCATCGCATGACCAAATGTCGCAGTTATGGCTGTAAGGTAGGTCCTATAAGGAGATTATCATTGAGAGACATGTTATTTTTTCCTTTACAAGAAGCATCATATACTACTCTGACTTTCGTCGTGTCTTTGTCCTCTCGTATTACCGCGTGATGAGGCAAGTAGATTGCCAACGGATTATCCAAATGTTCCTTCTGTATTAGCTCCATGTGATTCAGATCTATGTACTCTTTCATTACTTCTGTATATTTATCCTTTAGGTTTTTATTTTTATTAAATTTATTTTCTAATGTATAAAATCTCCTTTCAGATATCTCCTCGGAGCCGTCTACCTGCGGAGGATCGTTCTTCAAAGGAAGTCGGACTATATACCTGCCTTCATCATCTCTCGTAGTTGTTTTATTGAATATTTCTTCACAACGTTTCTCTTCATCAGTGAACATTTTCTCCTTTTTTATTACAGGTTCTGCCTCCAGTTCCCAAAACCTTTTGAGAAGATCATTATCATTTGAACAACAATGCAAGACCTTTATTTTGTGTGCTGACTGTGCAGTCATGGTAATTTGTCCAGAGAGTATCCAACCTAACGACGTAGCCTGAGCTAATAGCTCTCCCTCTGGACTCCTTTTTATTCCTTCCAGAAGTATCTGATTGTAAATACCTACTCCTAGTAACATATCGATATGACTTGGAGTATGATACTCTGGATCAGCCAAGACTAGGCCTTCAAGTTCAATCCAACTTGATGGGTCGATCTTGCATGTTGGTAACGGAGCCGTTATTGTCTTCAAAACAAAGGCTTCTACTTTAATTCTAAAGTTAGAGTCAACTCGTGATTGAAGTTCCATAATAACCATAGCCTTGGAAGTTGTCTCATGTTCGCCCAATCCGGATATTTGTCCTAAAATCTGAGTTTTTCTCATCCCAAGCGCTGTACGGTTGACTTCGTTATGAAAGAACATTGCGAGCCCTGATCAAGTACTGTGTTGTTACTTGTTTTCGACTTGACTCTTACAAGTGCAGTTGCTAGAAGAGCCTGATCGTAAACTCTGCCTGAAGAAAAACAAGAGACTGACGTTTCTTGAACCTTTGAATCACCTACTTGTTGCAAAGAAGCTGCAATTGCTTCTTCTGACACGCCCTGTTCCCTATCCTCAATGGCCTTAGAAATAGCTTTCCCACTAGGGTGCAAAAGTGAATGGTGTTTCCTTTTGCAAACGCGACACTTTACGTTGGTACGGCAAAACTTGGCAGAATAATTGCTACCCAAACAATTAAAGCATGCTTTATTAGTTTCTACGAATTTTCTACGCGCGTCCACAGTTTCCTTAGAAAACTCTTTACAAAATGCAAGTGCGTGTGCTTCCGAACAATACAAACATTTAACATTAGTTACATGTAAGGTTTTCATTTTATTTACATGAGGACTACTTTGAGCCTGACTTTTTTTGACTGAGTTGGATCCGGAATCCAAAAATTCCATAGCGCGATATCTATTTGTTAAAAACTCTTTGAAATTGGCATATGTTGGCAATTCATCTGTCGAGCTGTTATTGCTAACTTGAAGTTCCCACTGTCTTTTAGTTTCCGGGTCCAACTTAAGAGTTAAAATGTGTATAATAATAACGTCCCAACTTCCTACGTCAACTCCTATATTGGTCAAAGAAGCGAGACAATCATTAGTGGTATCGATTAAATCCTTGAGACTACTGGCTGATTCGTTTAGTATGTTTTTCTGGCTAAACATTCTTTTTAATGTTAAATGACAAATATATTTTTTGTTATTATATCTGTCCTCGAGTAATTTCCAACATCTATCGTAATTTTCGTTCGCAATAGGAATATGCCTCAAATATTGTTCTGCCTTACCTGTCAAATAACTTTTTAAATAATGTAACTTTTGAACCTTACTCAAATCTTGATTCGAATGAATAAGCGCAGTATACAAATCTCTAAATGCTGTCCACTCAGGGTATTTCCCAGAAAAGTTAGGTATATTAATTTTTGGTAACTTTATGTGTGACGATGACTTTACATTCGATTGAACATAGTTACTTTCTGAAGTACAAGGTGCATTTTCAATATTAAACCTTTCTAAAGATGTTTTCAAGTCACATTTATAATTCAAATAAAAATATATAAAAAAAAACACTCTTCAGCCTTATCATAAATGTCTTCCTTTACATAATTAGTACCTAGTAATAATTTTTGATCTGAATTACGCTTTAGCTCCTTATGATCAGATAAAAATTCGAACCACGTTTGCTCGATTAATTCTAATCTTCCCTCTAAATACTGTTTAGTAATTCGATCTTTTGGGCTCTTTTTGAAGTTAGTTTGCGCCTTAATAATGCGCTCATATAGTTCAATTTGAAAGTTTAACAACGCTTCCATTTTTAAGTAATTAAACAAAACTACAAGTTTGTAAGTTCAAACAGCAAAATGTTCTAAGTAAAGACACCAAAATTTTCTAAGTTGTAAGGTACTCAAATTTTTCTGTCTTTAAAGTTTACAAAGCCTCTTAAAAATTGGACATAGGTTCCCCGTATTAACGTTTTTATCGAAATTATTCTAAGTCTTAACTAAGTATGGAAATTTACTCT